ACAGATTCTCAGCCTCTCCAGTGTGGTGCAGCCATTGTTGGACTACTCGGACTCTATCCTGTGAGCTAAGCTGATAAATTTTTATACATATTCATTCTACTGGTTCTGTTTCTTTGGAGAACCCTGACTAATACAACCACCAAGATAGGGACCTGAAGTCAGGTCTGGTGGCACATGCCTGTGATTCCAGGACTCAGGAGGCTGAGGCTGGGGAAGCTCCAGGCCAGTCTGGTCCACATAGTGAGTCCAGGCCAGCCAGAGCAACAGAAGAAGAAAATGATAATTAAACTAGGTATGCTAGCACATGTCTATAATCCCTGGCCTTGGAAGGCAAAGTAAGAGGATTAAAAGAGTTCAAGGCTATCCTCAGCTGCATAGTGAGCTTGAGGCTAGCCTGGTCTGTAGAATGAGACCTTGTCTTAGTAAAACAAATCGATGAGAAGACAAACCAGTGTTTGGCAGATAGTAGCTAGCTAGCTAGATGAATGATGGATAGATCATAATGGATTATAGATATTGATTGATATAGATTGATATATAGATGATAGATAAGCTTTAAACCCAGCATTTGGGAGGCAGAGGCAGGAGGATCTCTGTGAGATCGAAGCCAGTCAGATCTACATAGTGAGTTCAGGCCAGCTGGGGCTATAGGGAGAGAGATTGATTAATTGATAGATAGATGATAGATACATGCCTTATTAAGAGGAACACAGTGATAGCTACTATCACACAAGAGAGGTTCATCAGATTTCAGTCTTTACTGTTCAAGACCTGAATCATAACCACCTTGGCCTGATTCCTTCTTTCTGTGTAGAATTCTAATAACCGGTTGGGCTCAATCATTTCACAGGGGTTGGTCCTCTCCTGCTGATCCCTCTGCTGCTCAGGGCACTTCAGTCTGAGCCTGGGCAAAGCCCTAGGGATGTGTACCTTACTGCTGGATTTTAGCTTTCCATGATGCTGCCCTGGGGGTCCTTTCTCCTCCAGTTCTGTGTCACAGTCAGGGGGAGATACTCTGGCTTTTGAAGATATTGACAGCATCTGAGTCCAGTCGTCGTTTCTTCAGCTGCCTCAAGTGGGATTTGGATTTTATATGTGTTGTCCATTTCTCTTTTTTTTATTGTACATTTATTCATTTGTGTCTCTCTGTCTCTCTCTCTGTCTCTGTCTCTCTCTCTCTCTGCGTGTCTGTGTGTGTGTGTGTGTGTGTGTGTGTGTGTGTGTGGCTTTCTACTCCTGATTTGGGGGCTCAAACCCAGGGATTCTTCCATCCATGCTCCCACAGAGCTACACCCCAAACCCAGCAATTTGCTCTTTAGTTAGAAGACTTGGTTTTGGGTCGGGTATGGTGGTGCACAGCTTTAATCCCAGCACTTGGGAGGCAGAGGCAGGCAGATCTCTAGTGAGTTCAAGCCTAGCCTGGTCTACCTAGCAAGTCCCAGGCCAGCTGGGGCTACAGGAAGACCCTGTCTCAAAAGACTTGGTTATTAACAGTGTTCTTCCTGTGTTTTCTCTTCTCCTAGAGCATTAGCTGAGATTTAAGAACCCTCAGGGAATTTTCTAAGCTGGTTTCAGTCCCTGAGGTTTGTCTTCCACTCATTCTTTCTTCCTTATGTTAATTTTACTTTAAAAATTCAAGGACAGGCAAAGGCAGGATGATTTTTGTGAGGTTGAGGCCACTCTGGTCTATATAGTAAGTTCCAGGCCAGCCAGGGCTACATATGGAGATCCAGTTTCAAAACCAAACCAAAACAAACCCAAAACAACAACAAAAAGCAGCAAGTGGCATGGGTTGGAGTGATGGCTCAGCAATTAAGAGCACTTACTGCTTTTCGAGAGGACCCAGGTTTAGTTCTCTGCATCCACATCCAGGATAACACCCATCCTTAACTCCAGTCGGACAGGATCAGACCCCTCTTATGGCCTCTGCGGGCACCAGGCATGTATGTGGTCACTTTCATACACATAAAACAAATTTTAAAAAGTATGTTTTCTTATTTTATTAGCATTGCTTAAAAAACAATTACACTGAAAATCTTTTTATACGTTGGAGAATTTGAAAGGGGAATGAATGCCAAAGTTACATTATCGCAACAAAAATTTCACAGTATTGTTGAAGCTTGGCAGTACAGTTTTGTCAGCAAATAGCTCTCAAAAATTATAGTAGACATATAGAGTTGTGAATTTACATTCTAAGATATAATTACAGTTTCAGTTTGAGAGTTATATCAGTTTAGTTATTAAAGTACTTGAAAGAAATTAACTTCCCAGACTGATTTTTATCTCTAGAAGTTCAATTAGGTGTTTTACATTTTCTGTAGGGCACAGGTCAGGGACATTGGGGCTGTAAAAGAATAGTAGAAAAATGACGGAAAACCTCTTGGAGCCTGAGAATGGGAAAGGTCCAGCATCAGCCTGGGTGCCCAGGGCCACGTGTGGAGTCAAGACCACAGCCACCTGGGGCTGGAGAGACAGCTCAGCAGTTAAGAGCAGTGGCTGTTCTTGCAAAGGACCTAGGCTCGATTCCCAACACCCACATAGCAGCTAACAACCATCTGTAACTCCAGTTCCAGGTGATCTGTCTCCCTCTTATGACCTTTGTGGGCATTACACGACATGGTGCACTTACAAAATACACATAAAATTAAAATTTTTTTTTTTAAAAAGGGCTGGGCATGGTGGTACACAACTTTAATCCCAGCACTTGGGAGGCAGAGGCAGGTTGATCTCTGTGAATTCAAGGCTGGCCTGGTCTACACAGTGAGTTCCAGGACAGGGAGACCTTGTCTCAAAAAGGCCAAAAAAAAAATTGAAAAGAAGACCATAACTGGCTATGGATATCAAGGGGGGTAGGAGGTCTGTTCTAGAGAATCAGTCCTCCCAAGACTAGAATCTGAAAGTAGCAGAAACTGCCCATATTTTCCAACATAAACCTAACACAGAGGCAAAACCACTGCCATACACAACCTAGGACTTCGGGATAAGGGGTGATGGGGAATGCAGCCACTCAGAGAAGGCTGAAACTGCTGCCCAACATTGGGAAGTCCCTCATTCTCCAATCTGCTCCAACATCAGCCCACCACCAGAGGAATGTGGAACATAACTACAGGCTCATGGAAGGGGACTACAACTTCAGCTCACAGGAGACGACCACAGCTCCAGTTCTCAGGAGAAATAAAATAATTTTAGAAATTACACACACACACACACACACACACACACACACACACACACACATACACATACACATACACAATACGTAAGATTTTTTTTTAATAATTAAAAATAAAGAACAAAAAGTGAAAAGTAAGTTTTTGGCAGAGTACTCTGAAACATTATGTGGGCGTTCAAGTATAGGCCTTGGTTAAATGTTCATTTCTCACTTAATGGATTTTTAAAGCAGGAAGTGGGAATGAATGACAGAAATAAAAGTTTATCATGAATGGACAAGTAGCAAATTTTAAGAGTAAAACTGGGACAAGGGAGAGAAGGATGAGTGGAAGAGCGAGCCTCGAGGACTGAGGCAGCTTAGAAGCTCCCTGAGGAGCTGACAGAAGAGCATCTCAGGCCATTTCATGTCCTGGGAAGCTTTGCTGATGCTGAGGATGAATCCACAGAGAGTGGTTTTCACTGTCGGGTTCATTTAAAATCTGGCACAAGATTCTAAAGGAATCTTCACTTGGCACAATTTTGACATGAATCTTTATCTCGAGTGTTTACAAAAGCAGCTGGCCCATTGCTGACTGAATTGGAAGCCACTGACTCACTGAGTCCCCTAGTCCTCTGCTGGCCCCTGGGACCTCTCTCTGTAGAAAGGCTCTACTTGGCTGAGGGATGTTTCTTGAGATTTGCTTGCATTGTTTTCCCCTTGATCTGGCTGAGGCTGGGCAGGATACTCTGGGTCATACAGGGTCCCTTTTTTTCTGGTTGGCTGTGTGCATTGCCCCCAAAGTTCATGGAAAATTATTTCTAAATGCAAATTGATGTTGCCAAATTATTTTTATGTCTTAAGTGGGGCTTGCTTTATTAGGGTCAAGGTTGGTCTCTGTCTCTGTCTCCGTCTCCCCCTCCCCTCCCCTCCTGCCCCTCTCCTTCCCTCTCCCTTTCCCTCTCTCTCTCCCATTCTTCCTTTCTCATACTGTACTAGGGATTTAACCTATGGCCTATTGTGCCCTAGGCGAGCACTGTACCACTGAGCTATATCCAAGGTCCTTCTCTCCATGTGTAATACATGATCATTCTTGTCCCAGCTCTTGCACCCCTGCCCATCACTGGCCTGTTCAGCTTAGTTCCTGTTCTCCTCAGGTGACCTGTCAGCCAATCCATGTGGCTGCATGTATTTGTCTATTATCCCTTATAGAAATTTGGGGCTGCATCATAATTCATCTTCATCAATCAAATCCAGTAATAATTACAATGATTCATGACAATCCAAGGCAGGGCTTTTATTTAAAGATTGATGTCCTTGGGCATGGTACATGCCTGTAGTCCAGAACCTGGATAGTGCAGGCAGGAGGATCAGAAGTTCAAAGCAGCCTGGGCTACAGTAGACATTATTTTAAAGAACAAACAAATAAATAAGCAAACAATGTAGGCAAGATCAGTTGTTTAAGAAAATACTCCTTTTTTTTTTTTCGGTCTTTTTTGAGACAGGGTCTCCCTGTAGCCCCAGCTGGCCTGGAACTCACTGTGTAGACCAGCCTGGCCTTGAACTCACAGAGATTCGCCTGCCTCTGCCTCTGGAGTGCTGGGATTAAAGGCATGTACCACCACATCTGTAATTTTTGTTTTTTGAGACAAGTTCTCACAATGACTGGCCTGGAACCCCCTATGACCAACAGGTTGGCCTTCAACTCACAGAGATTGCCTGCCTCTGCCTCCTGAGTGCGGGGATAGTTGGTACGCCCCACTACGCCTAGCTTATAATGAAGCTATTTTAAAGGCACAAAATATCTCTTTCAATCTTATTTTTATTTTTGTTCTGTTAAAAAAGGAAATGATTTTTGTAAATGGCTACTATCATAATACCAGTAGGGGGAGGTATAACACTGCTTTTGAACATTACCAGAAACTCTAAAGGAAGACAATTTTCCTTTTGCCCTTTTACAACAGAAAATTGCCAGGGCACTGGGAAGGAAGAAAAGCAGTTCAATAACAGACTCAACACTAACTGCAGAGCCCGGCATGGTACACAGGGCTGTAACATCATCTGGGAAGCTGAGGCTGCAGAATGGCTATGAGTTCAAGGCCAGCCTGATTTCCATCCCCAGCATCACAAAACCATGTCTCATAAAACAAAACAAAACAACACAACACAACAACAACACCCTAACAAGTTGCTATGGTCTAAGATGCAGAAGAATCATTTTCTTTGTAAATACTAGATGAACAGAGATGGTCAAAATGGGTGAGTGTGTCATGTACGCAAAACTCTGTGCTAGCATTCTGGAACACTGTAGGTCTATGGGCATTTATGTCTGAGAATTCTCTAAGCTGAAACAGAGGGCAAAGCTCAGTTGCCCGTGGTCAGCCCCACATTTTGCAATATGTAAGAGATCTAGACTGCAATAGCTTGCAGACAGTTTGGAGGTATGAAGCATTTAGTAGTCCATGTGTGATGTGGTAAGAGTGGAAGACCGGAGTGAGCAGGTTGTGGCTGTGTGGTGCTGTTTACCAGGACAGGCTGGGGTGCTGGAGGTCCTGATCATTAACTGGCATGAACCAGTTAATGCAGTCAGTGCACACCTGGACCTAAAAGTGAATGTTTAGGGCTTAGCAAGATGGATCAGTAGGGAAACTGCTTCTCCTTAAGCATGAGTGCCTGAGTTCGGATCCCCAAGAATGGAGGCCCGGATTCTGTAGTTCCTAGTTCTGAGGGTGGCCTATAGACAGGTGAATCCCAAGGGTTCACTAGTTGGCCAGGTTAGCCGATCAACAAGTTCTAGGTTCAATGAATAAGGTGAAGAAATAAGGTGTGGAAAGAGAGAGGAAGACACCCTCCATAAGACATCCACCTCTGGTCTCCACATGCACACATGGGC